TTGCCCACCTTCTGCAAACCGGAAGTGCATAGGCGACATTTGCTCAGCATTCAATCCTAACAACTTAACTAAGTCTTCGGATATCATGCTATGCGTAGCTCCCGTGTTAATCATCACTCAGATTCGGTGTCCACGGACAAAGCCTACCAGATACATCAACGGATCAGTGTTTGCATTGACTGCAAGAAAAGCTTGAGGAAAGCAACGAAAGTTACTCACCTCTTCTTCCTCATAGTCTGCATTGACCAACTCGTCAACCCCTACAGCTTCACACCACCGTCTTCCCTTATGACATTAACCCGACACCTTGTCTTATGTTTGTTGGGACATTCCGAGGACCTAAGTTCCAACTCTCCACAATGGAAGCAATGACCCACACTACCCGTTCCGCTAGGAGCAGGTTTTGTAGGTTGCTGCTGCTTGTACCCACCAGGAGGAGGAACAGAGGGCCTAAGACCAGAAGAAGCTGCTGGCGGTCTCCAACCACCACCACCTTTGTTAACCGTTTCTTCTGAGCCTTCAGAGCAGAACCTGCCTTCCACCCTCTGTTTCCGATCACCTTGTTTATTCTCAAAAAATTTATTCTTATCCGAGTTACCAGCATACGATTGCTGATATTGTTCCATGAGCGAGTGACTAAAGGCAACTTGCTGCACTGCCTCCTTACACTCCAGATACGTCTTTAGTTTAAACTTCAAAATCTCATTACGAGAAAGTGAACTTAAACCCTCTAGGAAATAACTCCGAGCATCTTTGTCACTCATATTTGCAATCATAATGTGCTTCTGAGCAAATGCATTAACGTAATGCATGAGATCCCCTCGCTGCTTTAACCACCACAGCTCCGCGTGAAGTCTCAAACCAAGATTATCCGGCAAGTATTCCTTACGGATATGAGACCACATCTTGGTCCAACTTCTAGTCTTCTCTTTTTTAGCACACACCTGGTGCCACCAAGTTTTGGCATGATCGGTGAAAAAGGATTGCGCATACACAACTTTCGTATGATCATCTACGTCTGCCGCTATGAAATAGTTTTCCATATCGTAGACCCAGTCTTCCAAAACCTAATAGTCCCGCATGCCTCTGAAGTTGGGTGGTTTCAGGGGCTTGAACTTTGAAACTTGTGCAACCGGGGGCGGCTGCAAAACTTCATCATCCTCAAAACTTGAGGAGGAGTCCCGTTGCTTAGGCTTAGCTGGTTTAGCTGCCTCAACTTCTTTCTTCCTCTTCTTGTTCTCCTTCTTCAATTTGTGAATCTCCCTTCGCAAATTCTCGATCTCGACTTCCTGAGCTGTACGCTGCAGCGCTGCAGCATCCAGCTCTTCCTCTTCTGACTCAGCCTTTGCCTCTTCCGCAGGATCTCTAGCAGGAGTTTCCTCCTCTTGATTCGCCCGTCTAGAGGTTTCAGCGTCATCAGCACGGTTCCTCTTCACCATCCTGCTAGCTGCATGCATGCCTCTATCAGTAACTGAACATGCATATAACATTCTTACCGAATGGTGCAATCCAACTAATCCTACACAGGTCGCTTCGAATCTACTAGAAAAGTCTCTGCGTATGCAACTTGAGTCAGAAAATCCGACAAAAGTTGGATAGGAATTGCTGAGACAATTTCTCTGATACCAAATGTAGCGCACTTGAATTTGGAGCCGAACTCCAAGCCCATTGCGCTACGAACAAGGGTCCGGTACAATCCCACGAGCACCAGCTCCCCGTATCCAGCACTTGCACGCAAAATGGTGTCAAACGGAGTCTGGCACAATTTTGGCATACCGGTGGCCTAACACGAGGAGGAGAGTACTCCACCGACTAGAGCAGCGTGGAACTTGGGCTTAGACCCAAGCCGAACACAGAACAAGGAGCGACACAGCCCAGCAGGAGCCAAACTAATGTCTCAGGTGGTCGGACATGCATTCCAACCACTATCCCTACTATCCATTTGGAACCTCCCCCCCCCCCCCCCCCCCCCCCTTGAGGAACATACGTTTTGGGCTTTCACCCCAAGCCTCCCTTAGTACCAGGAGTTAGTCTTTGGGACAAACTCGAAACTTACTAAATATGGAATGTCTTTAAATTGCAAATTTGGACACGGGACGAACACCATTGTGTTCAGGCCAATCTCTACATTCCGTAAATATGCCAAATGAGCGAATCTAGACACTTTCCATAAATAGCATATAGGACCGAAATGAGACTAACACAAAGGGCATGATAGCGAGGGTGTTTGGCAGACACGGTAAGCTATCATCCAGCGATATTGAGGGACTAGTTTCAATATGCAAAGGTTCTTGTCACTAGCAAGTGCAAGACAAAACGAGATGGGAACTCCTTACCGGGCTAAGTATGCTTAGCTAATAACACGTAGGAATTCCGTCCTTATGCTCGTCCGGTCTAAGTACACTCGAAATGCCCAATTAACTCCACTAGCACAAGAGGGGCTACTAAAGGGATCCAACTGTACCGATCTTCTACTATCATGGCAGTAAGGAAAGAGTGTCCGTAAGGACTGGTCGACAAGTATCTTTCGATACCCAAAGTCACATTCGCGACAAGCATGAACCCTGACTGGTTGGAGGTGGCCTTCTGCTTGTTAAGTGGAGCAGCAGAAGGTTCCATTGAGTACCACCGTAATTTATGGGCTTTGGGCATTGCTGCAATTGGAAATCTTTGTGGTGGCTTTTGTCAACCATAGGGTGGAGCAATTCCAATGCAAGTTCCAATTCCAATGTAGTGTCAGCCACAAGGTTGAGCAATTTAAATGCAAAGCCTAACACAGGGATGGCTATTTCATGTAGCATCAACCACAAGGTGGAGCAATTCCAATGCAAGTTTCAATTCCAATGCAATATCAACCACAGGGTTGAGCAATTTTGCAAGTTCCAATTCCAGTGCAGTGTCAACCACAAATGGAGCAATTCTAGTGCAAGTGCATAATGGCATCCCTTGCACTCTCTATAAAGTCCTATGTATAGGCAGGAGCATATGCACAACCCTACATAGATGCACTAAACTTACGTGCACTCCATAAAAATTCTGCCCCTGTTTTAATGGGATGTGATTCCTCATTATATGGTTTCATTTTCCAATTGAACACTAGCTGGTATACTCAATAGTTGAGCCAGACTAATGGTCATTGATCACAATAGAGTCACCATATCCACTTCAACACATTGTTGACTTGCATCCTTCTATAGGGAGTGACCCACTAATCATGCCTAAAGGGATTGATCATTGAGCCTTCGAAGCACATATTCTTGCCATGATTAGAAATGCATTTTTCACTGATCCACCACGAAAGATTATAAACACTAATCTGTCAAAATGGGGAAGTATCAACCTAGCCAATGGCACTAATTATGTGGATCAAGACATATTTCCATGCCCCTCTTCTTATTTATCAAGCTGGCCAATAGAAATTTAAAGAATATATTCCCATTGTAGGAAGATAAAAGTTCCTCACCTCTCATGTACTGGAATTACTTCAATTTTAGCTATAATGATCAAGATTGCTGAAATGCCTTATCCACTACTTCAAAAATTAATCTAAAAGGAATACACCTCTTTATTTGAGATATGTCCAAAAGCTTATTTTCATTGGTAAAAAGAATAACAACTTCATCCTTCACTCTTTGTACAATTGCCTGTAAAATTGATACTAGATTTTTTGACCTGATTACCTTTATTGCAACATACATTCTCCAAACTAATTAATTATGGCTTTAAGTCCTCTCTTATAACACTCAATTCAAGGCTCTTAATCAAACTTCAAAGAGAATTCTCTCATATCTTCTCCTTGCTCTAGCACTTAAAAAAAAATTAGGGAGAAACTGATAAGAAAGAACAAAGATATTCTTCTATATTGTGAGCTTTAATTAGCTATGTCTTTGTAAAGAACAAGTTAATTATTTTAGCAAAATATACAACCATTTAAAATCTAGAGATATATGAGAATCTTAAAGAGCCATACATATTAATTATGTGATTGATTATAAGAGGATTAATACTGTTGAGATGAATGGGGTTATGAGCAAGAGGTGATAATCAATTCCCAAAGTTATAATGCTAATAGCTTGTTTTCCCTCTCATTTTGATGCTCTGCAAAAGAATTTTAGAAAGAGTTAGGCTCAAAGAGGTTGATTCATATGTCATTTTATCACATGTAAACAACCTCTTAGAGCCTACACTTCTCACAAAAGAATAAAACTTTTTTGTAGGGAAAAAAGCATGGAGATGAAAGGGAGAATAAATTATCAACACTATAACTTTTATAGTTGTAGGGCCTCTTTTATAACCCTATTCATCTCAGCAAATATTATTCCTCTCACAATCAATTACGCATATTTTAATATCCAAAACATTGATTGATTATGTTCTTATAAAGAATATGTTAAATCTTTGTTTATAGTGGATTTGTCCAATAAATATATCCTACTATTTGCAAAATTAAAATAATATTAAAAAAATTAGCATATCACTAGAATCTAGAAAGCAATTGCCATTGAAGAGAAATGACTATTGATCGTGGCTGTTGATTGTGACTTTTAATTTTTAGGGTTTTACAGCTAATAGAGTTAAGTTACTTTTATAATTGTCATAAGCTGATGATACTAAAGTTGTATTCTCAGCCAAAATCTATGCAAGGTTGAGAAAATGAATTAACATTATGTTATCCATTTATATTTTAGTTTAAAAGGCTCAATAGAAGGGATTTTAAGTTTATAAGGTTTAACTAGATCTTCTAAAAATTATATATATACAACAATTAAAACACTTTATACATCTATGAGTGGGATTTTGGTTTGGATTCAATCTTTACTATTTTCTTCTATATATAAACTAGATACACACGTGGAAGCTTTTCAAAGGCTTTGAAAATTGTGACCATTGGACATACAGAAGGACACTTGACGAAGGCTTTGAAAATTGTGACCATGGACATGCAGAAGGACACACAGACCGCTTGTGACGATTAATCATTTGGATGTCGAATTTTAATATTTCCCCTTCCAAATGCATTTTTTCTTTTAAGAACCAACTCGACTTTACAAGAATAAAGAATCGATTTTGATACAATAGCGGTGACTGCGGCGAACTAAGACTGCGTACACAGCAAAAAAGACAAAATCCAGAGATACGAAATCCGCTTCACCAGAACCACTCGCGCTTGGAATTCACGGCCTTGACGCTGCTGGGAACGAGCGGCATGCCTTCAAACAGAGTCACGAAATGGTTTAAACATCTGGATCTCCGGTGGCTGTGACCGGTCAAGCTGCTGATTCCAGAAGAGCCAATTTCTACAACGCGGCCTGGAACAAGCAATCACACTACGTGTTAGACATCGTCACAGGCCAACAAAGACGGACAAGCAAGTTAGAATCCGTCACAGGTGTTCAGTGCGTATTTTACGCACCTTTAACCCAGATTGGTGGAGCCTTTGTGACGTTTGCTACGAGGAAGGACATGGCGATGTCCTCGCAGTTCCTGTGAGTTGAAAGTCACGAAAGGCGTCAAAACAAAGCTAGACAATTGCCACGCAAGAGGTCGAGAGACGTGACGCAACAAACCTCTCGTTGGCAACGTAGCTCCGGATGCTCTGAGGCATCTGGTAAGTGTAGAGCTCCAAATACTTGCTGTGGAAAAACGCGATCTTGGAGAGGACCATGCTGTATGATCCCGTCCACCATACAGACCACCACCCTCCGTATCTATACGTCGGAGTTTGGCCCTGGAAATCGGCAATGCAAAACCACTGTAAGAAAATACCAAAAGAAGCAAAGCTTACTGTTCTAAGTTTGCAAAAGAACTGGAAACTAGCCTAAGCCTATTGTTCGTTCTAAGTTTCCAAAGAACTGGGAAAAGAAGGGAATTTTTCCAAGTACCTTAGATTGGAGCCAGTGCATTCGAGGAACAAAGCCGACCATGGAGTCTCTAGCGCTCAGCCAAACGTTGAAAGCAAGCTCCATGGTGTCGCAAGAGACGAGGACGTCGTCGTCCACGGAGAAGACGGCGTCGGTGTTGAGGCCAGTGATGGGCTTAAACCTGTTGTTGAGATTGTCCTCGAGGTTGACATCAAAGTGGAGCTCGGGAGCTCTGGATCCGCGCCGATGCCTCCTGGCGATGGTTTCCAGCAGCGACAAATGCAGCTCGTCACTGGGCGGCTCCGGCTCGCTCCACACGACGCGGAACGCGTCCACCCCCTTGCACGACGCGTAGTGCGCCACGGATTTCTTGAGAAGATCCTCCCTCTTCCAGGTGTTGACAAGCACCGTGTAGCGCTGCCTGGATATCCAATCCCGAAAGTTTCGCATCAAACACTTGGATCCCACTGCCAAGAGAGATTTTTTGTGCTCTTACCTGAGATCTTGATCATCGCGCTGCGGCTCCTCCAATCTGTGCTTCCAGCCCACCAGAGTGGACGCGCGCCTCGCCAGCAGCGCCGTGGACAGGAGAATCACCACGAAGACGAGCAGCTTGATGTGATAGGACGAGTGATTGGAGAAGAGAATCCGCAATCTCTGGACCAGCAATCGGTCCCTCTGGCCCTTCATTCTTGGGCCTGGATTGCCGGGCTTGATGTCGAGCACAACCATCCCGCAAGAAGAGGCCGCGCAAAAATAAACCCTCTACCTCACTCCAGTATTTCCATCCAAGAACGCTCCAATCCAGGTCAAGAACCGCGGAGCTCGCAATGCAAACCCTAGATCAATCCGGCAGCGCTCGCTGCCAAGCTCTCCCTCGCAGGCCAACGGCAGAATCCATGCCCTGCCCTTTCAAGATTACCCCCTGCCTATCTAACAGAATATTCCATTCCCTACACTTTGCCGCGTGGTTTGACAAGGTTTTGCCCAGGACGATTTCTAGGGTTTATGGCGCATTGCTCTCCTCGGGCGCGCGATGTCGACAAGATCCAGCAGCGTTTTCTCGGCAGCACGCTAACGCGCTGGATGATCGGCGGGCCACCCATGAAGTGGATTTCCGGCCAGTTCAGAAGCCGACTGGTAAGATTTCTTTGAGCTTCACGTCATTGTCTTACTGCAGCTATGCATTGCCGTGTCTTGTAGAGGAGGCTGGGCGAGTCTTACACTCTTTTCCCTCGGCTCTGCCAAGTGGTGCTCGTCGTTCACTATTCTTGACTGCGTGTACTTCTTCTCGTAGACTTTCTACGTTCTCGATCGACGCCATGTGTTGGCCCGCGGTATGGAATGCCGGCGCGTTTGGAGAGATTCTAAGCTCGCCGAACGGATCTCTATGAATTCCGGTTCACGACTGTGATGCAAGGGCGGCGAACAAACCTTTTCTCGAGATGGAATTCTCTACAATAGGTGGGGACGTTCTTTTTCTTGGCTTGAGTCTTTGTTTCACTGGTAATTGTTGTGATCAGGATACCACCGTTCGCCCTTTGGAAAGACGCAGACTGTAGCCGATAGCGATTCCAAAGGCGACGTGCCATCAGGTTTTGTACTAGCTGGTGTATCACTTGTAGCTGTACGTGCTCCAACTCCACTTCCCGTGAGGGATGGTCTTGCTGTGATGGAGGTTGATGCTATTGCAATCGTTTCCTCGCACAGCTGACACTGGTTTAAGCAGGTAGTCCTCGAGCTAAAGGCAGATGGTACTACTGGTATTCGTGATGGTCCATCTGTGAACCATGCCCAAACAAGTTCTTGATCGAGATCTCTTATACGGTTAGCATCTTATTCTTCCTCCTTCCCCAGGTAAGCTTTCATTTTCATCAACTCCTATGTGGTTTTCTTTTCTTTTCTTTTTCTTTCAGAATCCTGGGTCATTACTGCGCTTCGCATTTGCAGCTGATGCCTTTAAAATGGTGACTGCTCCAAAGGAGAGCTACCGCGAGTCGATATCAGATAGCTGTACTATATTTTGGCAACCGTGGAGACGAGTGAGCTTGACACGAATGACAGTGAGGCTAATTTGATTTGCGTCTTTGGTAATTGTATCGATTTTATTTGCCTCAAGCTCAAGCTTCTAAACATCAGCGATTTGTTTATATTTCGTTGGGAAGTATATCTCCACCCCACTACAAAAAAGAGGTGGCCATACAAAAGAAGAAATCGTGGCACGACATTCGCTCTCACTCTACGATCCAATTGACTTTCTGGAACACTCCCTTCTGAGCATTATAAGTGTACCTGACGGGAAGAAACTTTGTTATAGGCACACAAAGTCAGGCTTTCTTTCAAGTTACCTGCAAAGGAAGATTGGAGGGAGCTCGTCAGCGGCACCAGCCGGGAAGAGGTTCTGGCGCCTGGCCGTCTCCTCCGCGTACTTTTGGGGAACCAGCACCTGGCAAGGACCTTGTATCGATCCAACCAAATTGTTATCGCAATGGTTTGATTCATACACCTGATCCAAGAACAACGAAGTGAGTGTGTCATCTTTAAAAAGAATGTATGCTCAAGTTACCTCGCCAGCCTCAGCGTCATCTGGTCGACCCGCAATCGCTGGCATGTCGTTTGGATAGTAGCACCAATTGACGCGAACCCACTTTGCGCCAGACTCGAGATCCTCCCACAGAGTCTGGAAAACTTAAGCTTGAGCGAGAACTAGAAATGAAAACTTGGAAGTACCTGAAGCCTTGCAATGTAAGGTGGGATCTCGGGCGACTCTGGACGAAACAGCGCGCAGTCTTTTATCTTGTACGTCCAGCCTCCAACGCAGCAGGAGCTATAGTAGACTCGCTTGTCCACCACCTTGGTAGGAGCTCCAACCCAATCGACGTGAAGGCAAACTTGGCCGCCCGAGTTGTCGGGCTGGGTTGTAGTCGCAGCGTTTTCGGCCGGAGACGGAGCTGGGGGCGTTACTTGCTGAGCTTCGGCTTGAGCTTCTTGAGCCTGTACCTGGGCGGCTTGAGCTTGAGCTTTCAGCTTTTCCATGGCCTCAATAACTTCCTGCGATGGAGCCTTCTGCTGCTGCGGCTGCTTGGTTGCGTCACTCGGACCATTAGCCGACGTAGCTCCTGTTTGCTGAGGAGTCGTAGGCTTAGTTTCGGGTTTCCTGATTGGCATTTTGTTTGGCGTCCCAGAGCCTTTCTTCACGGGTCCATATCTCGGCTTCACTCCGTTGCACTTTGGACAGGACCAGTCGCCTTTTGGATACTCCCAAAATGGTACGCACTTGTAGTGGAAAGCTTTCTCGCAGCCATCGCAGACCACCACACTCGCTGTGTCCCTCACAATGCACTGGCAGAGATCGCACGGTACCAGCGTCATCATGTAGGCGTTGCTGACATCGCACATCTGCTGGGGTACATAGCTCTCGGCCTTTAGCTGTTGGACCAGCGTCACAAGCTGTTTGTGTCTAATCATCTGTGCTTGCTCGTCAATCTCGTCGTAGTCGTCAGATTGTTTCAAGTCGGCATCCGCGTCATCGTCGAGCGAGAGAGCATTCGGGGAAGTCAGGAGAGCTGCATTAAATGGATCCCAAGCTAAGCAGATGATTCAGAACGACAGAACAACGAAAATACAATATAAAAAAAAGGTACCTGATTGAAGCTGATTTCCATCATCCTCGGAGCTGTCATCGTCCGAATCCGAATCTTCGCCTTCAACTTTTACTTTCGCATCCTGCAAGGAAGTCAATGAGATAAGAGCACAACGAATGATAAACTCCGTTACCTCTTGAGGCCGCGGAGCCGGCTCAATGCTCCCTTCGACAGTTTTCCGGTATCCCATTGTTGATATCATGCTGTCGAGTGACTGCTTTGGCAGGAGACTGCTTGGTGATATCCTCGCAACCAAGGCGCTTAAATTAGTTTCTGCGTCATTCGCCAGTTGCATTTCTATCTCCGTTGGCGGCTTACCACCTCGCATCTGTGATAGCCCGGCCAGCACCAGAATTACATCCGCAGTCTTCCCAAGAATGTGGTTCACCCTCTCCTCGACCTTTTGCTTTGACTTTTTCGAGCCACCATCCACTAGAGAATCTCGCGCTCGTTTCCTGCTGTAAACCCGTGCAACCAGCTGAGGACTTCCCTGCTTGTCCACGATCCCATTCCCGTGTTTCAAATGCAACCCATTCGGAACTCTCGCGTCGGCGTCGATGAGCTCTTCGGGGTCCATTCTCGTGTCACGTAGCGACTTGTCTTTCTTTAGCACGTCCAGTTTCTTCTTGTTGTCGAGACCTGTGCAGTGATTTTCCATGGCTAAATTCAGCTACTCAAAATGAAGCTACGAGCTTGCGGCTTGCAAAGAAAAATTGGTTCCTGCAAAACGAAGAAAAGACCAAACTGTTTAGAAACGAAGATATATGAACCAAAACATTCCACCAAACCTTCTAAGCAAAGAAAAAGAAAACAAAAGAAAAACTCCACACAAAGCAAACATCCTCACAAATCTGAGCTAAGTGGAAGCATCGAAAAAATGCGTGACGAGAGAGCTCGCGGGTAGCCAGCCAGCCTAGGGTAAAGCCAAGCTCACGCAGCACACACCTCTCCCAGCGCTAATCGCTCTAATCCTGCGAGAACAAGCGGTGCCCTACCAGGAATTCCCCAATGCTGGCAGCCGCTGCAGCGACGAAATCCCGGGTTACCTCATCGCGAAGCTCCCGATTCGGCCATGGCGCGCACGCTCGACGCCGCCGCCTCGCCGCCGCCTCGCCCCCCGGCCCTCGGCCGCCCCGGCGGCGCCCGCCCTGGCTTCTTGGGCCTCTTCTTTTTCAAAAATTTGAAACGATTGATACCGCGGGGGCCTTTTTTTCTCTTCGTCTACTAAACCATTTGGGCTGTGGCAACTAAGTGCCCTCGCCAAAACCCACAACAGCAACTTCTACCCTCAAAGGCAAAAAAAAAAATTGCTGCCCTAGCCCTTTGGAGCTATGACGTTGGCTAGGGTAAAATCGCCCGAAAGGGTTCCACGTGGCGAAGTATAGTCTGCCACGTCATTGGGGTTTTAGTGCCAGCGTGTAGGGATATGGCGACGACGACGAGCATGGCGTCGCTCGCCAGCTCCATGGCGGGGCTCTCGCTCGGATTCTCGTCGAGCTCGGGATGGAATCGGCGATTGGCGCCGCTGCAAGTCTCTCCGGCGGTGAGTTTCTGGCCGCATTGCGCGTGATTCCGTGTGTGTTGGTCCAGATTTTGCTCATGGATTGCGCGGTGGCGGTGTGTTGTGCTTTGCATTGTTGTCGCGAGAATGTCTCACGGCCTGGATGGGAATTTCATGTTTTGGAGATCGTTCTCATCGCATCGAGCTCGGGAAGCTGAGATTTTTTCTTGTGGAAATGTCCTCCAGGGTGGAAGGCTGGCATCCAGACCATGCACGATCACAATGACGGTAAGCTCTGCTCTCGCAGCAATGTTTTCTTCTTTCTAGCTGATCAAAGCTTCTACTTGTATACAGATAAGAAAATGGGAGCTTAAGAAGCTCAAGGAGAAGAAGAAAATGCACGTCCGCCTGGGCGACACAGTGAAGGTGATCTCCGGAAGTGACAAAGGCAAAGTTGGAGAAGTCACGAAGCTCTACCGCAAATGGAGCCGGATCATCGTCAAGGACGTAAACATGGTGACGAAGCATATGAAGCCCAAAGAGAAGGGCGAAAGTGGCCAGATCCTTCAAGTAAGCAAAGATCAAACGTTTCTCTCCTCACAGCTTCGAATCTCTCCTCTAGAATTGAAACTTTGCTGCAAGAACTTGACTCTTTTTATCTTTCCTTGCTCGCAAGAGTTTTGACCCCTTTTTTTTCTTTTTCTTTTTTTTTGTTCAGGTGGAAGCTCCAATACACAGCTCCAACGTCCAGCTCTATTCCATCAGTGCCGAGGTTGTGAGCCGTGTGGGACACAAGGTCCTCGAGGATGGAACTAAAGTTCGCTACTTGATCAAAACCGGGGAGGTCATTGATTCTATTGAGCGCTGGAAGAAACTCCGCTTCCGGGACAAGGACAAAGACAAAGAGAAGGATTCCAAAGCCGGCGAGCAAAAGAAATCCGACGGCGATAAGCAATGACGATTGGAAAATCTGCTGGACATTTCAGTCCGTAACTTTCCAGGGAACAAGCACACATCGTAATCCAAGGCTTTGATTAATTAAATGTGGTTAACAGCCATAGCGATGGGTTTTTCCCAATTATACGAACGCGATGAATCGATGTTTCTCCTCAGCTCTGCCATGTAACTGCGAAAGGCAAAACTCTTTCAGGGAGATCTTCATGGAACTTTCCGACTTACATGACTTCTGTGAGCTTGATCCTCCAGGGGGAAAGCCTTGGACGGAGTTGATCTCATGAGCTCCGGATCGAGTCTCCAGCGTCCTTGAAGCAACCAAACGAAAAACAGGATTTTGATCGTCAAAAGTATGAAACGAAGGAGAAAAACTCTCTCCTTCTCACCGACTTCCTTGAAGAGACTCCTTCACTGTGAGGCTGTTGATCCGCTCCAGCTGATCCTGCCGCGAGACACAAACGAGGAACTCATAATCTAATCATCGAAGGAAAGAAGGAAATCATCCATCACGAACTATGGACAAGAAAAATGAGGAACCATACCTTTTCATCTTTGCAATGATTCATTTGACGTTAATGACCGCTGCTTCTAGATGTTGAGTACGTGATCTTAGCTGTGGTGGTACAGACCTGCAAAGATTTACGACCAGGTGAGATTTACGAGAAAACAGAGACAAAACCACCTCCAAAGAAGAGTGGAGCAACAGGAAAAAGCTTATCTCAATCGAGAGATCGACAATCGCTGCCGTTGAAACTTCCCGATGACGCGAATACTCTGGAAACCCAATCTATAGGTTGCCTCAAAAGAGATGTTGCGCGTAAGTTCCGGTCTAAAGCGGACTGTGGTGCTTGGACAATGTGGATGTGCCGGAGTGGTTATCGGGCATGACTCGAAATCATGTGGGCTCTGCCCGCGCAGGTTCGAATCCTGCCATCCACGTAACCTTTTCCGCCTGAGCGCGATGGCGCTGTGTTGTGCTTTGATCTCACGGCCTGGATGGGAATTTCATGTTTTGGAGATCGTTCTTCGAGAAGCTGAGAATTTTTTCTTGTGGAAATGTGCTCCAGGGTGGAAGGCTGTATCCAGACCATGCACGATCATAACGACGGTAAGCGCTGCTCTCTTCTTTCTAGCAGGAACTTTTCCTGATCAAAGCTTCTACTTGTATACGGAGCTCAAGAAGGTCAAGGAGAAGAAGAATGTACGTCCGCCTCTCTTCGGCAGACAAAGGCAAAGCAAATGGAGCCGGATCATGGTCAAGGACGTAAACATGGTGACGAAGCACATGAAGCCCAAAGAGAAAAGTGAAAGCGATCAGATCCTGCAAGTAAGCAAAGCTCAAACATTCTTTTCTCTCCTCGCAAGTCTTCCCCGTAGCTTCGAATCTCTCCTCTAGAACAGAAATTTTGACTATCTTTTCGTGCTCGCAAGAGTTTTGACTCTTTCTATCTTTCTTTTTTTTTTTTCAGGTCATTTCATGTCCTTTGTGTTCTAGATGTGTAAGATGCTCGGCCTGCATTTCTGAGGTTTCAAGAGCTTGCTTCCACTCCCTACTATATTTCTCTTCACATCCAGCTTCTATGAATTACTGGGAGAACGTTCTAAAGTTCTAGAGAAACATTGTGAGCCGTGTGGGAGTCAAGGTAAGATTCCAAAACCGGCGACGAAAAGAAATCGGACGGCGATAAGCAACGACGATTGGAAATTCTGGTGGACATTTCACTCCGTAATTCTCCAGCGAGCAAATTTCAGACACTCCTTGTATATTCGAATCTGCGAAAACAGGAAGATCTGGGCCGTCCATGCGAGAAAAGGGGGTCAAATAAACCCCTTTACCCTAGCTATTTTCTCCAGGGGTTGAGCTGAGCGAGAGGAACACAATGGCGCTGGAAGACTGTCGTCGGTCCAGTGCGCTGCCATCGTTCCTCTACAAGAGCAAGGGATTCAAGGCGCCAGCTCCGGCGCCAGCGATCAATGGCGGCGGCGGCGGCGCTCTCCAATCTTCCAGGTTTCTCATCCCATCCCCAGACGAGTCGAAAAAGATCGCGATGTACTCGCCGGAATTCTACGCGGCGTGCACTGTCGGGGGGATTCTTAGCTGCGGCCTCACTCACACGGCCGTGACGCCCTTGGACATGGTCAAGTGTAATATGCAGGTAAGCTCGGGTTTCTTGTTTAAAGCGTGTGGCTGATGAATGGATTCTTTGCTCAGATCGATCCCGCCAAGTATAGATCTATCGGCAGTGGATTTGGGGTTTTGTACAAGGAGGCTGGCCCCAAAGGTTTGTTCAAGGGATGGGTTCCGACGCTGTTCGGATACAGTGCGCAGGGAGCTTTCAAGTTTGGCCTCTACGAGTTCTTCAAAAAGTACTACTCGGACTTGGCCGGAGAGGAGAATGCGTACAAGTACAAGACTTTCATTTACTTGGCCGGATCTGCCTCGGCCGAGTTCTTCGCCGATATTGCGCTGTGCCCGATGGAGGCCGTCAAGGTCCGGGTCCAAACCAAGCCCGGATTCGCTAATGGGCTTCTCGATGGCCTGCCAAAAATCACGAGGGCTGAGGGCGTTCCTGGGTATGTTCTTGTCCTTTTTCTTCTCTGTTCCTTTTTAACACTAGCTATTTCTGTGCTCAGACTTTACAGAGGACTGGTGCCTCTCTGGGGACGCCAAATTCCATGTAAGCTATCCAACTCTCGAACGCAAACACGACGAAAGAAATGGTTTTTGCTGACTTGTTTGTGACAAATTCTCGTTTCTGGCAGACACGATGATGAAGTTTGCATGCTTTGAGGCCACGGTCGAGGCGCTTTACAAGTACGTTATTCCCAAGCCCAAGGACGAGTGTAGCAAGGTGGAGCAGCTGGGTGTTAGTTTTGGTGGCGGTTACATTGCTGGAATTTTTTGCGCTATCGTCTCGCACCCTGCTGACAACCTTGTCTCGTTCCTCAACAATACCAAGGACGCAACCATTGGCCAAGTATGTATCCTTGTTTTCTTCTTGTTCTTGCGCTTATTTCGTTATCTTTTGCTCCAGGCCGTCAAGAGCATGGGCCCGGTGGCTCTCTTCACCCGGGGGCTACCGCTGCGTATCGTGATGATTGGAACACTCACTGGAGCACAGTGGGGAATCTACGACGCCTTCAAAGTCTTCGTTGGACTGTAAGTTTCTCGCTCTCTCTTGTGGGGAAATCTCAAATCTCTATTCCAGGCCGACCTCTGGAGGAGTTTCGAAAGCTCCCGAGCAGCTAACCACGCCGCTACCACTTCCCTCCGCCTGAGGGCAAAGGATTCTTTTATGGCGAGACGAAAGAAAGGACCAAGTTTTGCTCTTCATACCCCCCCACCCCGGATAACTTATTGATGATGAACCTTTTGATATACTCCTATATATTGATCATATTGGTGCATTGTTTGGTAATAAAGCAAGAGTCTTCTTAATTGGTTTTTTGTTTATCTGTTAATGGTTTTATTCTCCAATATACAACAGTTCATTTCTGTCTCACAGCGCCCAGTGTTCAGCATCCAATTCCTAGATTCACTATGGTTGCGGTTGCAGTCCTTTGCTCTTCTGAATGGCAAGTGTGGTTGCAGTCCTTCACTCTTCTGAATGGCAATTGCTTGCGTGTCTATTTTTTGTCGTTC